CCTCCCCTACCAACCATAACCCCACGCACTAGTTCAACGGCAAACCCAATGGAACACAATGAGAACAAGGGACAAAATTGGTCGGTGGAGAAGAACACATACATAAACGAACGGATACAAGCAGAACACTACCACTTCACAAGCACTGATGATGTCTCCTCGGCTGGTGATGAAACGTTTTCAAACCGATTGCCAAACTCGCCGGGCAGGCGAAAGGGAATTCAGTTTACCAAAGCTACAAAAATCGATTTCCATTACATATAAAATCCAATCCAATCTGGGTTTGATGTGGAAATGTAGGAAAACTAATTACTTTAGCTTCTGTTTTTAGATACTTTCGATATCCAAACCAAGATATTTACTGCTCAGTTCATCGGAAAAGTAAGCTTGGGCGGATTCAAAGATCTCAAGCCGGGCAGTAGCACAAATTCGTTTACCAACCGACATGAGACAATTTAGTCAACATGAGTTCTGTTGAATTACCAAATCCCTCGATTGATGGGGGGCAATGGCAGAAACAACAATTTTTGTTTGGAATGTGTTGATCATCACCGTTGATCAATGAATGAAATTTTCGAAATTTCACACAGACCACTACTACGACCGCGTGGCTAAATTTGTTTACCCGGTTGCCTTACCACATCCGTGAAAAATTACTACCTAACATGATGACATCTGGCATAGTGTTGAATTAGGTCAATCCAAAACGAGCCGTACGGTAAATCGTGGCTACGGGGACAAATGCGGGTTGTGTGAAATGTAAACAATCATGTCGGACGAATGTGGCCTTAACCGGAAACGTGGTGGTGGAGGGGCTTTTATGGTTCTACAAATAGACGGTGATTTAACAAACCGTCATTATTTTAGCTTCATGTTGAAGACAAGGCGGTCCCGTAACTTTGTAGTAACTGGCGTCATAACTTGATGCCATGACACGATGGCGATTTCATAACACAAGCATTGATGTGATTTCTTTGTTATGTTACCGGACGCTCCAATTCCCAGTACTTTGCATTGCGCTTCACATAGCGTCAGTACGCTTTTTGGCAAAATGCTAATAGTGCTAAACAATGATTGCAGCATTGTCATAGTTTGTACACGCGTTCAGAATGGCCAATGTCCGTGTGGTGGGCAAATGACCAGCAAAAGTGTAATTTTGAGAAGCACTAACCAGCGTCACTTGAATATCCTAAGTGCACTATGACGGATGGCTGTTTAGACTTTGCGAATAATCTTTCTAATTGAATATAACGTGAGAAGTTGTTAATGAATTGACTAAAACCAATGAAGAAGCGGACTTTACCGGGCTTTATCTTACAGATAGATGACAACCGTAGTGTATTCGAGCCAAAATGAGTCTCAATGAGTTGGATCGAGCGTGTTTTATTTGGTGTGCCTTGAAGTGCGAGTAATTATTGAACCAAAGTTCCGTACTTCTTTTATCGGTTACAATAACTGCCCTTCAGTTTCAGGTTGCAAAGGATGAAATGTCTTCACCATCAACCAATCAAAGCTGGTCCCATCGTGAATGTAATGAGCTCAGATAGACAGAGCAATTACAATTATGAACTACGCTAAATAATAGCGTACTAGCGATTGCAACTCACAGTGAATATTAAACCAACACGATATAAACGGACCGGTTTTACCTTCAAAACTTCCAAATATAAACAAGGTGTACTCCTATATTTTCTCTGCAATTTGAACAACTTTATCACCTCGATCCAGCTCCAGAGATCATTTGGTACACATTGACGGCGCCCAAAGATAGCAACTGTTTGCTTGGTGTAGTCTAACGCTCTGCTACATCCGCTGAGACTCAGCCAACGAGGCACTATTGCAGACCATGAGAAATACTCTTCCAACCAGGTGCACTCGTGTTCTCGTCATTGGAGACTTTAATAATTCCAATTGTGCAAAACGTCTGAACTATTGCCACTTACCCGGACGATACTAAACACAGATTGTTGAGTTATATCCCATAATGTACAGATGCCTACACGATTTGGAACAGACCAAATAACATGTCGGTTGAATTAGGTGTTGGGAGAATCTGTCAGAATCAGGTCTCCCTCCATTAGGACGCATCGACCATGGTGTTTTGCCTTCCAATTACAGTATCGAAGGACGGCTGAAAACCACACTACCTCATATACTGAGAAACCTTTATGTAGCCTTTGGGTTAAAAAATAGATGTAGGTATCAGAAAATCTTGGCTACTAAGTTTATTTCCAGTCAAAAGTTCTTATAAAACCAAATCAATCCTTTTAGAAGAAATTTGCTGAATTGCGACACTTAGACATCCTTAACAAGTTTTCATCTATACGTCTAAAGCAGCAGAATCCCCTAAAAATTCAGTTATATGAAGTTTTTACTGCAGATAAAACAGTTGGATTGCAGCTCCCATGCCTTCTTCCATCTGTCCCATACCCCTAGATTGACTACCGTCACCATCGAGACTGAAACGGAACAGGTTGATTACCACGTCTGTTCTTTTCATTCTTTTCATTTTTATTTTCTTTTTATTGAATACACAATGATGCAATTTTCAGGGAGGAGAATCGGACGATCAAAGGACTACCATAAAACATACAAAAGGGGCAAGTTAGGCGGCGGTGGTGGGATTCGAACACTCGTTCTCCGGGGTAATAAGTTGGTGACCTTACCACCGGGCCACCACCTTAATGTTGGTAGAATCTGCCAGAATCAGGTCTCCATTAGGATGCATCGGCCATGGCGTTTTGCCTTCCGATTACATTATCGAAGGACGGCTGAACACCAGCCTTCTATGTGTCCCATACCCCTAGATTGACTACCGTCACCTTCGAGACTGAAGTGGTAAAACCCAAACTATTAGCGTTGCATTCGAAATCGTCCCCAGAGGAAGACATTCTCCTTCCACAGACTCTGACCTCGTTCGGGAGCCGCATATCTGAAATAATTGTCGGTTTAGAACAAAGCATGTTCTACAAGACGATAATGATTTAGCCCAGAAAACACGGTGTCATTTCATACATTTGCAAAAGTGACTGCCGAAGTGATCCGGCCAACTGCCGTCCAGTTACACGTCTTTCAGTGCTGTCAAATATAATGGAATCAATTGTTGCTGATACTCTGATGAGGCATTTCGAGAATTACAAGGTCCTGTCGCGAGCCTAACCTAAGCTTCGAGGAAAACGGTCCAGCAACACCAAACTGCCATATGCATTGGATGAGTGGACAAGATCATTCTACTCAGACCCCAGCAGTTCTAAGTAATCTACAAGATTTCCTTGAGGAAAACTACACTACAGAAAGTGCTCGGCGCAGGTTCCTGATGTTCTTCTATCAGTGATATCGAACACAACGGTGAGAAATATAAGGCTATGCCATGACGTCATAGCAGTCATTTTTATTGCGTATTTGGAAATTAGCTATCACAGCCTGCTAAAAACGAAAAGCACTCCGAGTTACTGTTCGGAAGTATACGGGATATTTCAAATCGCGTGTTACAGCATAATCAACAGTCCTAAACAAGTAAGATAACTCAAAATTGCTTTGGGATTGTTTGGAATAGACCTATTGCCCAGTTTATCATCAGTGTACATTAGGCAGCTCTAACATCTGCAAAGAGCATCAACCACAGTGGTCAAGGGTGACAATACACGATCTATGTTAAAAAGCTGCAAATACTCGCACTCTACTCATCTCAATACTGCCGAGTTCAATGAGACATGATCCTCTTATAACGAATACCTCAATCGAATCATCCGTGTGGTACTGCAGGCGCCAATGTATCAGCCTCCAAGGATGTGATAATTGTAACTCCCTTCCGCAAGTGTTTTGTGCCTCAATCCTCAATTCATTCAAGTAGCGGCTCAGTGAAGTGTTGAATCACCTAACTATTCAGCCCCGGTCAGTGAATATGATTATTTGTTAGTTAGTTGTACTATTTTGCGAACGCTGTTTGTACCCATACTATGGGATTCAATGCGCCCCAGCTTTATGAATAACCCATAACTTTCTCTTAGAGAATTGATGTCAGTATTACATGCGTTCATCAGGACCATGAAATCTAATCTCTGTATTACCAGCTTTAGTGTGACGAAGAGCAAACCACTGTCTCGTGCTTTGATCAAAGATCAGTTATCGAATTTCGAGTTTCTTTTTAGCGTAATTCCGATGTGAGTCAGCCAATACATCATCAACAACCAGTGGTGATCAATAAATCTTTCCATTTTTCTGGCGAATACTGGTCCTGGGTCTTTGCAGGCCGTTAACTGTTCCTCGATTCAGCTCTGAAAGTCTTGAACTGCATACCATATTCCTAATCACTCTGGGTCGTTTCATTAGCAAGGATTCAGAGTGAGGCTAATAGTGTTTTGTGAGCTGTACTGAGCGGTACCCGCAGAATCAGAGGAATTCTAAAGGAAACTTTACTTAATTTCAGTCAATGAAAACCATTTGTCCTCGCTTAGCATTTATGCTTCTTGGTAAAAAATAGTATTTATCAAAATGGCAGTCAGCAAACTCATTTACCGCTGTGCTTCCAGTTTGACAATGTTGTTGCAAACATTTCATGGTTGACAAGCAGAATAATGAAATGGAATTAGATACTGACCGACTGGTTGTATCTATAACCTTCCTCGAATCGGCCGGAATCAATGTCACATGTCCCTTGTGACACACTTCTCTGTTCTGCGCAAACGTGTCACGCATCCCCTTTTTATCACTGTCTGGTGCAGGTAATCCGAACACGAAATTAGACAGTTGTCTCATACCATCCCCATTAATTCAACTGTGTTTTCGATGTCACGAAAAATAGAAAACTTGTGGGATTTTTACCGAGTGAAAACAACGTACTCGAGGTTGGATAATCCCGAATATAGTGCACACATAATACTGCTTTTTGAAGATTAGCAGTACGTTCATGGCTAGCGATTAGGTAATTAGTAAACAAAAGTCTTTCTAAGACTCGTTTGATTGGGAACATTCTCATACAGAACATTAGACTAACTTACCGAAATCGAACGGGTGATTTTTCTTCGTTCGCAATTTCGAATTGCACTTCACTGATCCCATCACTCATGGTCCGACAACGGAGAATGTCCTGCAAAATTCGGGAGACCAAACGGATACATAAAAACGCAAATCATGGATGCCAGATTTAATACAACCAGTTGTTCATGGATCAAAGGAGATTTGTATGGCTGTTGGGATACATCTTAAAATTTTAAATATTTATGAGCATATCCGTTTATCGATCTCATTCTAAAAGATTTTATAATATTATTCATCTCAGGAAGGTCTAAGAAGAAACACTGATTCCAGGAGCACACTACGCTGATTGCACAAAATGTCGGTTTCAAAGGAGAAACCCACCTAGACAGACTGTCTTATGTTGTTTCAGAACGGATGAGCAGCAAAGCATAGAATAATCGCGGTCTATTCGTCATTTATATTTACTCACCGGCCGGTTGCAGTGCGTTTGAAGTGAAGGGCGGTTTCCAAAGTTGTATCTCCCAATTGTTGAAACGTTTAGGCTTAGGAGAAATCGCTGTAATCTGTGACGATTTTAGAGGGTCGAATGGGATCACCCAAATAATTAGAAAGGCCTCTAGGTGACCCATTTACAACTTTGGAAAGGCCTCAAATTACTGCTAACAAGTGCTAAATAACTTCACAGTCAAGGACGCAAATCGATCAAGTGGCAATCAGAAATTAGTAAAGAGGCTCTATTCGAGAATGGCATTCTCGCCGGTGATTACCAATGACTCCAAACCATGCTCCTTTGGAAGCTACATCCTGCCTCTCCTGAGCGAAAAGCGGAAACAAGACAACAGTGAATGGATGATCACATTAGGGAAGCAAATTAACTTTACAATTTTAGCTCTGCCATCATGTCTCGGTTGATTCAGCCGTCTATAAACTCAGCGAACACCACAAGTTAATCGGTGAAGCTAAGCCAATGTCTCTCAAAATGATTATAGATCCTGGCACCATTTAAAAACATTCAATGCAATTACTTAAGTGTTGCATTTGTAAAATTTAAGCGATAAAGAGGCGGGTGTGGTTTACGATAGGTGTGTCACGATCTGGTCAGCTTAGCCCGGGTGCAGGAGAGGCGTAGTCTAGATAAGTGGGAAGTCTGACAAAAGGATAATATTGATAAACCGAGTTGGTGAGCGAAAAATTGTTCTGATATTCCTAGTCATGCTCTGAAATATCATATAGTGGAAAAAATCCTTACATCATGATAACCATCCGCTCAATTTAAGGTCATTAATCGGAGGCAGAGAGTAATGGAGAGTTTATGTGTGTGTGCATGAGGGGGTATGCGTGTAGGAATGTTTAGCGTGTCAGTTGATGTGACCTTCCCCACTTGGGTCAAGTGACACGTCACATTCTGTCTTGGTTTTCACACCCGGTCAAGGCCATTGGAGTGCCTGCACCAGTCGTTTTTGGGTACACAGGTTGGAGCCTAGTAAGCGCATGGTGGTCACCTCAGCCATGTCCTGTGTTCAAACTCGGGCGCTTTCGATCGATTGAGTGGGATACGATAAACAACATCAAAAGCTTTCTCCGGTTCGAACTTGTGCCCGGTGTCGACAAGATGCCTCACAATCGCGCTTGAGATACAGCCAGTTTTCCCCTGACTTAATCATCGCCAGTGGTGCTCGTTAACGCGCTGAGACAAACGCTTTACCGTACAACCTATGTATCATACGGCACAGACGCACTTAAAAGAGTAAATTATCATGGATGATGTCAGCTTCGGCAGTTTGTTTTTCACTTGCCTTCGCACCACCGGTGATTTAGGGAACACAAGTATAAGTTTGGCTTCGGGGAAGGTGGAATTCATAGCCACCCTCAGTGATTGGACTGGGCTCTTTGTGTATGAGTCCCCCTTGAATAGGATTCTTATGAACAGTTCTTTCTTCGGGACACAAGTAGAGTTTTCCTTCTCCGGAGTGAGCCAAATGTTCTTATCGATGACCCTTTCCGGATGACCATTGTCCTACAGCGTTTGGCGGATGTAGAGTAGTCCTTCATCCAGTATGTCTGCCGAGGTGATCCCAATTCGCTTACTAGGCCCCAACCTGTGTACCCAAAAACGACTGGTGCAGGCACTCCAATGGCCTTGACCGGGTGTGAAAACCAAGACAGAATGTGACGTGTCACTTGACCCAAGTGGGGAAGGTCACATCAACTGACACGCTAAACATTCCTACACGCATACCCCCTCATGCACACACACATAAACTCTCCATTACTCTCTGCCTCCGATTAATGACCTTAAATTGAGCGGATGGTTATCATGATGTAAGGATTTTTTCCACTATATGATATTTCAGAGCATGACTAGGAATTTCCGAAAACAGTTGTTTGCTCACGGACTCGTTTTCTCAATTCTATCATGGGAATATTCAAGCTTTAGAAAACGATAATATTTAGCCATACCGTCTGGAACTGTAAGAAAAGAGTTTTTCAATCCACAGTTTGGCTGGACTTCGTTGTCGTTAGAACTGAGCAGGCCGGATTCCTGAGTTTAGCATGATAAAGCACACAATTTTTGGAGAAATGCTTACTGGTTTGCAAAATAGAGGGAAAAATCTCTTTTGAAAATCACTCATGATTCAGTTTGGACAGCATCGTCTCTACGGTTCTCGCTAACCTTGGGCTCAGACCGTTATGGGCAGCACAAAAGCAGTGTGGAGCAGGCTGGGGTTACAAAGATATTGAGCTGATATCAACCATTTTTTTTCATTATTGAGCAAACTGCGAACAGAACTATTTTCTTTTTGTGACCACGCCATTGACGTCTTCCTCTATTCGAAGGCAGCTTTAGACTCAAGCGAGGGCATATTATGGTGCCTGCTTCACTACTAAGGCTATCTTTATTACACATTTAATCATAATTTGTTCAAACTTACAATGCCTAAATCATTTTTCGGGAAGAGACTTTCCGTTTTAAAAGAGTCGTTTTGTGAGTTCAATGTGACAGGCTTTCACGAAATATATGATAGAAAGTCGTACGTCTTTTTTCGGTAATCGTCTATTGCTTCATACCAGTTTCTTTCCATCAAAAGTTCGCTATTCGTGCAACGAACACCGCAAACGGCATTGCGCGTTTGCGAAATAAACTGAACTCGCAAAAATTTAAGCTAGATTATTTGGATTCCCAAAACAATCTTAAAGCCCTTAATACATTACTCGACTTGCACTGGATTTAGGTGTAGAAATAGAAACGTTTCAGAGTGAACCTATTTCCGAATTTTGAGATCAAAGTGCAGGTAGTTGGTAAACTGTCTGACACTCACATCGTAACCACAAGTATCCAACTTGTACACCCATCCTATTTGACTAAAACTGGCACCAAATAATATATATGGTGTGGTGCATGTGTACCGTTTGCTTTCGTCAAAGTAGTCTCAACTGATTATTTACCGAATTAAC